GACTCCAGGATCATGCCCTGAACCAAAGGCAGACACTCAACCAACCACTGAGCCACCCAGGCATCCCAATATGATTTTTTTTAATGTGCTCTTTTATATGTGGTTTTTAATATTAATGTTTTCATAAGTAAATGCCATCATGAAGTGATTTCTAAAAATTTTACTAGATTTGGTTTGTGCTGTGTGAATGAGTATTTTTTATAGAGTATTAGAGTATTCTATCTTGGAAATAATTGGCTATTAAAACTACTGTTGGTTTATTAACAGAGTTTAAGAAATTCATAAGTTAAAATTTGAACATGATGGGCGCCTAGGTGATGCAGTCGGTTGATTATCTGACTCTTGGTTTGGCTCGGGTCATGATCTTAGGATTGTGAGAACGAGCCCCACTTAAGACTCACTCTCCCTCTCCTTTTGCCCCTCCCCTCCATGCAGGCGTGTTCTTCCTCTTTCAAAACTCTCTTTTAGAATCTTTAAAAATTAAAAAAATCTTTAAAAATTTGAACAGGAAACTATTAAAATTGCAGATGGCAACTTAAAAGGCTAAATAAATGTCCACTGCTTTACATTAAAAGAAAGGTTTAAATACTGAAAAGATGATACTCTCTTAAGATAAATATTTTTAGAGTGTTTTTAGAGTATTAATCTTAACATCTAGCATATTTGTATAATATTAAAAGTGAACACTGAAAGATTTTGCAACTTTAAAGTTGAGTAGTTATTTTTATTTTAGTTATAAGAAAAATTGAAAATAGAGATTCTCGATGTAAAGACTAAAACATTAAGGTAGGACTTTTAATTCAAAAGAAGCTTTTAAATTTTAGGAACTGAGTATACTTTTTCCTGAGTTACTATCTGCTTTTAGTTCCTATGTGTCCAGAGATCTTTGATATCATCTAAGTTTTTCATCATTCTCCTATTGTGAAAAGAGTGGAGTAACACAAAAGAAAGGGAAAATATTGAGTTGGCAGGTCACGTTATTGACCTTGTGAAACTTACAATTATTCATACTGTAATTAATCTATTGTTTTTATGTGCTGCTGACATAAACTATTTAAATAAATATTGTGAAAGTGTGGTTTGTACTGAGGATTTGGAACTTATGAGTAAATATTACTTGTCTTTTAATTTAGATAAATAGAATTTGTAGTACTTAACTTTTGGAGGAAGAATATGCTGTACACTCCACCTTACAAATCCATAAGACAAAATTAAAATAAAATAAAAAAAAAACAAATCCATAAGACATCATCATTCATTGTTCCTTTATAAACTGTTCATAGGGCAGCCAGGGTGGCTCAGCGGTTTAGCGCCGCCTTCATCCTGGGACCTGATCCTGGAGTCCAGGGATCAAGTCCCACATCGGGCTCCCTGCATGGAGCCTGCTTCTCCCTCTGTCTGTGTCTCTGTCTCTCTCACGAATAAATAGATGAAACCTTTAAAAAAATAACCTGTTCATAGTCTTTTACATACTGGTCTACCTGTTTAACTTTTCTAGTGCTTTTTGTTCTTTTTTGCATTTTCATATAATGTGGGTTTCATTTTTTTCCCTTTAGCCTGAACACTTTCCCTTTGGTGTTCCTCTTATATTCAACTTATGTGTGTGTGTTGATGGAGGAGAGGTTGTGTCTGCCTATGTGCATCTGCATATTTCTCCATTTTTGAAGGATATTTTTCCTAGGCACTGAATTTTATTTTTTTTATTTTATTTTTATTTTTATTTTTTTAGGCACTGAATTTTAGGTTGACAGTTTTTCTTTCAGAATGGAGATGTCATTCTGTTGTCTTAACGGCTTCCATAGTGTGTGTGTCCGTGTTCCTGTCCCTTTCCTAACTGCTTTTGATGTGACTTTTGTGAATTTTCAATAGTTTGAATCTCATGTGCCCAGATATAGTTTTGTTTGTATTGTTTTGTTTGTTTGTTTTGTTTTGTTTTGTTTTGTTTTGTTTGTATTTTACTGCTTGGAGTTCCTTCAGCTTTTTGAATTTATGACTTTGAGTTTCCGATGAGATTTGATAAATTTTAGTCATTATTTGTATATTGCTTCGGTACCATTCTCTCTTCTTGTCCTTAGACTTTTATAACCATCTTCCACAGTGTTTCTTACCATCTATTTTTTCTCTATATTTATTTGAATATTTTCTGTTGACTGTCTTTGAGTCTTTGAATTTGTTGTTAATCATTCAGTGAATTTTTTTTTTAAGATTTTATTTATTCATGAGAAACAGAGAGAGAGAGAGGAGAGAGGCAGAGACACAAGCAGAGGGAGTAGCAGGCTCCATGCAGGGAACCCGACATGGGACTCGATCCTGGGTCTCCAGGATTGGGCCCTGGGCTGAAGGTGGCACTAAACCGCTGAGCCACCCGGGCTGCCCCATTCAGCGAATTTTCTAAAAAAAAAAAAATTATTTTATTTGAGAGAGGGAGAGCATGAACAGAAGGGACCAGGGGGCGAGAGAATCTCTAGCAGACTCTGTGCTGAACATGAAGCCTCACGTGGGCCTCAATCTCATGACAGGAGATTACAACCTGAGCTGAAACTGAGTGTCAGATGCTTTAACCAACTGTGCCACCCAGGTGCCTCATTCAGTGAACTCTTAATTTCAGGCATTGTACTTGGCAGTTCCATAATGTCTATTTTTTTTAAAGATGTGTTTTCTTTTCAAATACTCCCCATTTTTTAAATCCTTTTTTCTGTCTTCATTTTACTATAGTAATCTTGATTATTTTGTCTTTGCTGTTTTACCATAGTAATCATAATTATAAACTCCCATTACTTTGGTCGTGTCTGGATGTTTTTCTGTGAATAGGTTAATCTCTTAAGCATTAGTGACGTAAAATTCTTTGCATGTCTAGTAATGTTTGTTTGGTAGTAATGTTTGGTAGGTAAATAACATTCATAGAGACAGAGGATTATGTTCTCTTCTTTTTTTTTTTTTTTTTTTAATTTATGATAGTCACAGAGAGAGAGAGAGAGAGGCAGAGACACAGGCAGAGGGAGAAGCAGGCTCCATGCACCGGGAGCCCGACGTGGGATTCGATCCTGGGTCTCCAGGATCGCGCCCCTGGCCAAAGACAGGCGCCAAACCGCTGCGCCACCCAGGGATCCCAATTATGTTCTCTTCTGAAGAATGTAGAGTTTGGTTCTTGGAGGCACTTAATGTATAGGTAGATTACCTTGATCCTGTCAATGATTGGTTTTAGGATTTGTTAGGCAGATAGATTTCCCCTGATTCCTAGGGCATGGCTTTTTTAGGATTTCATCTGAAAGCTGAGGATTTTCACCCACCTACTGTGTCTGGATCTGAACCGTTTTCCCAGTGGTATTCAGCCTCTGAAGTCTTGGCTCGGCTGTTCTCTTTTAGACTATCCAGAGTTGAACTCTGAACATCACAGCTTAGGAACTAGCCTAGCCAAGGACCTCTGAGGGATTTTTATATAGAGTTTTGAGGTTCACACCTCTGGTAGTACCCTGTCGCCCTAGGCCCACTTAGTCCCTAACTTCCCTATTTTCTTGATCCTTTGAGACTGCCTCTGGAAACTGTCATTAATTTTAAGCTGGTGGGGTAAGGAATGGCATTTGGTAATTCTATGAAGTTGTAATCCATCAGAGGATGGAAGTATGCTGGTAAAAAATGTTTGGTGATTTTAAGGTATTGACTACTCTGTAAATTTTAGGATCTTAATTGCTTTGTAAACATTTAAATTTACTACTTAAATCAAGATAATAAGTTCCTATTGAGTATAGCACTTTGCTCATTGGCATTATAGTTGTGAGCAAAATCAAGACATACTCTGCTGTGAGTGACTATTCATAGGCTAGTAGAAATTAGTTCCTACATATGTCATGTTGTTAAGAAAAATGTATTTTGTAAAATGAATATTTACCAACTATCCACTAGGAGATCTTTTAGATCCTTCATCTCTGATTTACATAATCTTGTTAATGTGAGCATACATTGTTTTGCTGGTTCAATTTAAATTCAGTCCCCAGACTCTTGTTGCAGTGCCTTTTTTTTTTTTTTTTTGAAAAAAATCAGCTTTTGTTTTAGCTTCTGGTGCCTTTCTTTGGTGTTCAGTTTTGTTGACAGTAATTTATAATTGAGTGAAGAGCTACATGGAGCAATGTGGAGAACACAGATTATCCCCAAGCTCCTTTTTTTCCCTGATTTTTTTATTATTTTTTTTATTTTTTAAAGATCTTTATTGATTTAATCATGAGAGAGAGAGAAAGAGAGAGAGAGAGAGGCAGAGACACAGGCAGAGGGAGAAGCAGGCTCCATGCAGGGAGCCTGATGTGGGACTCGATCCCAGGTCTCCAGGATCATGCCCTGGGCCGAAGGCAGGCACTCAACCGCTGAGCCACCCAGGCATCCGTTTCCCTGATTTTTTTAGATGACTATATTAATTAGGTCTAATCTAGAAAAAGATTTAGGTTCAAGCCAACATTGAGCTTTTTTTTTGCCTCAGGCCAATTGAAAATAACAGAACTTTTAAGTTAACCAGATGTTACAATAGTATGACATGAAGGAAGGACCTGTGTAGTATTGGTTTGATCAATTTATAAAGCTTTCTTTTGCCATTGTAATATAGTTCTTATACTCACCAAATTTAAGTTATACTTCCCCCACTCTCCAAACCATACATAATACGTTAATAGTATGTTAGGGAAGACTGGGAAGACTGCTGGTTATCTTAACTTTGTTGCATGGTGTCTAACAATCTTTCTGATACCAAAATGTGTAAGTGACAGAAACTGCATATAATATTGTTATTGTATTTTTATTGAGAAGTCTTCTGTTCCTAGTGAAGAAATGCTAGAATGGAGATTCTGGTGCTTTTCTTAGTTCTAGCGGTTGGTCTGTGGTCTATTTTATGAAATGCTTTTATAATTCTCCTTAAAAGAAGAATATTGGCAGTATTGGTTCGAATTGCTTTAAAGTATTGTTATCATAGTTATGTTAAAATTTTTAAAATAATTTTTATTATTTTCCATTAGGAAACCACCCCTACTCCTAATCCCCCGCCTACAGAAGAAGAGAAAACAGAATCTAATCAGGAGGTTGCTAACCCAGAACACTATATTAAACATCCTTTACAGAACAGGTAAGCCTTCTGACACATAGGTTCTTCTGACTTAGACAATGAAGTAAATGGTGAAATAGGACAGGTTTGGAGGAAACAGGGTGAGACTAGTTTTAGATATATTGGGTTGAGGATTCCATTTTCACTTGGATAACCTGTTTATAGCAGGCAGTTTTATGTGTGAGTCTTGAGCTCAGAAAAGAGCACTGGTTGAGACATTGGGTTTGGAATTCGTCAGTAATTGGTAGTAAGTGAAATTATAGTAGTAAATGAATCGTCTTTAAAGTGAACTTAACTCAAGACAGAGGTTTGGAATACCAACTTATAAGGGATTTTTTTGGAGGGATAATGCCTACGAAGGGTTTAGACACATAAACTATAAATTGGGACAGAGTCGTGGTCAGGGAAACAAAGAAAATGTGGGGGTTTTTTGTTTTTATTTTTGTTTTCTAAAGGTTTTATTTATTCTTGAGAGAGAGAGAGAGAGGCAGAGACATAGGCAGAGGGAGAAGCAGGCTTCCTGTGGAGAGCCTGATGCCGGACTCAACCCCGGGATCCCGGGATCACGACCTAAGCTGAAGACAGACGCTCAACCATTGAGCCACCCAGGCATCCCGAAAATGGTTTGTTTTAAGGACAGGTGATTAATAGCATATGTTCCATAAAAAGATCAGATATTCATTGGATTAAACAATTTAAAAAGGCTCAAAATTGCCATTGGATTGAATGATAAAGTCCTAGCTAATGTAGGGGAAAGTTTAGTAGAATGTAGATGATGGAAAAAGATTGGAATAGAGAGTGAATATAAATGTATTATAGAGCAAGAATAAACAACTTGAAGTTGGGCTGTAAAGGAGAAAAAGCTAGGGGATGTGGCATCTGCAGGTTAGTTGGTTTGTATTTAAGACAAGTTAGGCGAGGAAAAGAGATTAAGGTGAGTTAAGTTTCGGGGTACGTAGCTGGTTCAATTGGTAAGAGCATGGGACTCTTGATCTCTCAGGGGTTGTAATGTAAATTCAAGCTTCATGCTGTATGTAGTGCCTACTTAAAAAAAAAAGATGAGTTAAACTTCATAGTTACAGTAGTTGAATAGTAGTAGCTCATATAGTTTTCTCAACTCTACCTCACACCTACCCAGTGTTTGTGTTTTTATGGTTTAAATGATGAAAATTAATATAAATGCACTGAGAGCTGATTGTGGGGGAAGAAAAATGAAATGCAGAAATATTGTAAGAATCTGGAAGAAAGTAAATTAGAATGAATTTGTGGATATTTAAGTAATTCAGTTCCTTTCATTTCCCTACCCCAAGACTTTTTTTTTTTTTTACCCTATCTCCTTTACAGATCCCTGTGTATGTTTCACAGACATCCCTTGTTTTATTGCATTTTGCAGATACTGCATTTTTTACAAATTGAAGGTTTGTGGCAACCTTCATTGAGCAAGTATTGGTGCCATTTTTCCAACAACATTTGCTGTTTTGTGTCTCTGTGTCACATTTTGGTAATTCTTGGCAATATCTCAAACTTTTTCATCATGTTTGTTAGAGTGATCTGTAATCAGTGATCTTTGATGTAACTGTTATATTTGTTTTGGGGCACTATGAACTGTGCTCATATAAAGTTACAAACTTAATAAATATTGTGTGTTCTAATTGCCTTACTTTCACTAGTTGTTCCCCGTCTCTCTCCCTCACCTTGGGTCTCCCTGTTCCCTGAGACACAACAATATTGAAATTAGGCCAATTAATAACCCTACAGTGGCTTCTAAATATTCAAGTGAAAGGAGGAGTCCTACCTGTCTCACTTTAAATAAAAAACTAGAAATGATTAAGCTTAGTGAGGAAGGCATGTTAAAAGCCGAGATGGGCCAAAAACTAAGCCTCTTGTACTAAACAGCCAAAAGTTCCTGAAGGAAATTAAAAGTACTACTACAGTGAGCACATGAATAATAAGAAAGTGAAACAGCCTTATGCTGATATGGAGAAAGTTTGAGTGGTCTGGATAGAAGATCAAACCAACCACAACATTCCCTTAAGCCAAAACCTAAACCAGAAGAAGGACTGAATTAATTCTCCTCAATTCTGTGAAGGCTAAGAGAGGTGAGGAAGCTGCCAAAGAAAAGTTTAAAGTTAACATAGGTTTGGCTCATGAGGTTTAAGGAAAGAAATGGTCTCTGTAACATAAAAGTGCAAGGTGAAGCAATAAGTGGTTACAGCAAGTTACCCTGAAGATTTTGCTAAGTTCATTGTGAAGATGGCTACACTAAACAACAGGTTTTCAATGTAGATGAAACAGCCTTCTAGTGAAGGAAGATGCCATTTGGGTGGACTTTCATAGTGAGAGAGGAGTCAGTGCCTAAGTGTTTAGAGGACAGACTGACTTTTATGTTAGGGTCTAATATAATAGCTGGTGACTTTAGGTTGAAGCCAGTGCTTATTTACCATACTGAAAATCCTAGAGTCCTAAGGAATTATAATGCTAATCTGCTCTCCTATGCTTTATAAATGGAACAGTAAAGTCTGGATGACAGAACTTCGGTTTACAAAATGGTTTCCTGAATATTAATCCCACTGTTAAAACCTGCTCAGAACAAAAGGATTCCTTTCAAAATACACTGCTCATTGACAATATACTCAGTCACCCAAGAGTTCTGATGTACCAAATGCATGTTGTTTTCATGCCTGCTAATACAACATCTGTTTTTGCAGTTTATATACAACATTTGGATAAAGGAGTAATTTTGACTTTGAAGTCTTACTATTTAAGGAATACGTTTTGTAAGACTCTAGCTGCCATAGATAGAGATTATTCTGATTGATCTGGGCAAAGTACATTGAAAACCTTCTGGAGGGGCAGCCCCGGTGGCTCAGCAGTTTAGTGCCGCCTTCGGCCTGGGGCATGATCCTGGAGACCTGGGATCAAGACCCTCGTCAGACTCCCCGGGTGGAGCCTGCTTCTCCCTCTGCCTGTGTCTCTGCCTCTCTCTCTCTCTGTCTCTGTGTGTGTGTCTCCCATGAATAAATAAATAAAATCTAAAAATAAAAAAATAAAAACCTGGAAAGGATTCACCATTCTAAGTTGCCTTTACGAACATTTGTGATTCATGGGTAGAGGTCAGAATACTGACATGAAACAGGTGTTTGGAAGAGGTTGATTCCAGCTCTCCTGGACAAATTTTGAGGGCTTCAAGACTTTGGTGGAGGAAGTAACTGCAGATGTGGTAAAAATAGCAAAGAATAGAACTAGAAGTGGAGCCTGAAGACATGACTGAATTGCTGCAACTCATAAAACTTGAATGGGTGAGGAGTTGCTTGTTATGGATGAGCAAAGAAAATGGTTTGAGATGGAACCTACTCCTGATGAAGATGCTGTGAAGATTGCTGAAATGACAACAAAGGATTTAGAATATTACACAAACTTAGTTGATAAAGCAGCAGCAGTTTGAGAGAATTTGAGAGAAGTTTTGTGGATAAAATATCCAAGCAGCATTGCGTGCTACAGAGAAATCCTTTGTGAAAGGAAAAGTCGATTAATAGAGCAAACTTCATTGTTTAACTACAGCCACCCCATGCTTCAGTAACCAACCCCTCTGATCAGCCAGCAGCCAGCATAATCAAAGCAGGACGTTCCACCAGCAAAAAGATTATGACCCACTAAAAGCTCAGATGATGGTTTTTAGTAATAAAGTATATTTAAATTAAGGTTATAGTAGTTTTTTAGACATAATAATGTTACTCTTACTAGACAAATATAGTGTAAACATAACTTCTCCGTGCAGTGGGAAACCAAAAACTTCAATAGTCTGACTTACATTATTGTGATAACTTGCTTTATTGTGATTTGCAATTGCATCTGCAGTATCTCTGATGTATACCTATAGTGAAACTATAAATAAATCTAAAAAATACATTTTCACTTTTTGGCCTGAATATTTTTTTATCATTTCTTCATTATCATGGTAGATTTATCAAAATAAAAGTCCAAACATGTTTTATGTAGTTTTTTTCTTTTCTTTTTTTTTTTTTTTTAAAGATTTTACTTATTTATTCATGAGAAACACAGAAAGAGAGAGAGAGGCACAGAGACACAGGCAGAGCGGAGAGAAACAGGCTCCATGCAAGGAGCCTGATGTGGGACTTGATCCCAAGACCCTAGGATCACGCCCTGGGCCGAAAGCCGGTGCTAAACTGCTGAGCCACCCAGGGATCCCCAACATGTAGTTTTTTCATAAGAGACCTGTGGTTCAGCGTATCCTATAGGGAGGAAGAAATTAATTGTCTAGACAGTGGACATTGTCAGCTAGTGAGCGAGCCATCACAGGTCAAATAGTTCATAAAGAGTAAAATTCTTCCTCCAGAAAGCATTATATCAAAGTCGAACAATTGATTAGCTGCAATTTCATATAATTCAACCTAAGAGTAGCACCAAAACCCTTAATGTATTTTTTAGATTTTTTTTTTTTTTAAGATTTACTCATTTTAGAGGGAGAGAGACACACTGAGTGTGCATACATAAGCAGGGGAAGGGGTGGGGCAGAGGGAGAGAATCTCAAGCAGACTCCCTCACTGAGTGCAGAGCCCAATGTGGGGCTCTATCTCACAACCCTGAGGTCATGACCTGACCCACAATCAAGAGTTGGACACTATTGCCTGAGCCACGCAGGCACCCCAGTTTTTTACCCCCATGTTTTTAGTATTATAAAAAGCTAACTCTGTATGCTTTTTGTCTATGAACACACTTTTTAGTATTGTTATTGTTGGGAAAAGTAATTAAGGCATATATTCCTCAGCTTGAATAAAATCTGAGAAGAGTCCTGAAAATTTTCATTAGTAAATAAACTGATTAACCTTAAAATAAAGTCTCTGAGAATTTCAGTTTCTCTGTGAATTCTACTTCAGTAATAATATTGGATAAAATAATAGAAAAATGTTCCAGGATGTTATATGTTCAGATCTTGGTAGTTTCCTCACTGTTTACTTTTTGTAAATATCGCATAATTTATTATGCATTGTTAAAAAATT